GATTATGGTTAGATATATTGACACGAACATATTTTTGTGGTACAAGTAGACGGACATATATTATGCTATTTTCTTCACTTATGACCTGCGTAGTTCTTGTATATGCTATTATTTGAGTAATGTTGATTGGTCGTCTCGTCCGGGTAAAGGTTTAGGACTACTCTAATTTATTGCTCAAATGCCTTGGCTCTGTCACAAAAGTACATTTCATCCTTTGGTCATACTGATCGTTCTAGTATCGGCAGTCTTCTCAGCAAGTATTCTGGTTACTTACGCGCCTCCCATTTTACTTTCATGATCGACTTGGCGAAAGTATTCTGGGCATTTTTAAAACAGCTGTCTAAGAATATTCCACACTCCGCCCTTCCCTCCCTACAAGTCAACGGGATACCAAGTAAACTGTGACGGGATGTCGTCAATCAATTGACATAACTGACCTTCGTTTGTTTGACCCCGTAGAACAACCTAAAGGGCAGCAGTGTTGCCTCTGCATCGTTGCCCGACGTGCGAATACTGCACACCAAAGACGTGGCCAAGTGCCCGCAGGCAAAGAGTCCGCGAAAGCGCACGGTGCCAAAATCGCATTTGAACCCCAACGCATACCCGAAGGCGAATGCAAATACAAATACGAGTACAAATGGTAATGGGAATGGGAATGGAAATGGAAATGACACTACCAGGATAGGATCTCAAAACCCATCAATCAGAGAGAAAAAGTTGTCCTCTCCGAAAGGCAAAACCCGTCCCGCTGAGTGTGCCAAGGCCGGCGCAAAGGCTCCCTCGACAATTCAGAATCAGGATAAAGGACAGATCGAAAGTCCAAATAAGGGGGCACCAAGGAATGGGGTAATACCACGGGCCAGCTCGGTCCCATATCTGGCGTCCCAAAAACCTAGTTTGAATTTGAGCATGGCGCCCAAAAAACCTAGTTTAGGCGCTTCAATGCCTATATTGAAGCACTCTCCTGCGTGTACGTGCTTAAATGCATCAATAGAATCGTGGGATCAACGACGAAGCTCAACTGGGGAAGTGGCGGTTATGTATCGCATAGTGGTAGGGAAGGGCAAAAACACACGCATGTGGCAAGTGTACAGACGCTACACCGAATTCGAAGCATTACACAAGAGCCTGGAGCAGGTTAGTCCAAACATTGTTTCTATATATATACATTGTTTCTATATATATTATATTATATTATATATATATATATATATATATATATATATATATATACTATACATAC